TGGAACAGAAGAGACGACGAAAATTCTATCTCGCGGGACGAGCACGTCGCCGCGACGAGTTTCGCGTTTCACCGCCGTCGCCGCTTCTCTGGCCGAAAAACTGCGGAGGCGAAGCTTTAGAAAACGTGGCGCCCGGAAATAAAACGAATCCCGGCGTCGCTCGCAGCGTTTCCGTGCTGCGCCCCCTGTCCCCCGCAATTTATTCGAAACCCTGAAATTTCCCGGATATTTTGTAAATCGGGCTTTCGTCCGTGTTCGCCTCTCTCCGCAAACTGTGCTCCATAGGATCAGAATCGTCGAAACGCGCCGCTTCCTTCGGCAATTTCCAACGAATCGTCCGGATGAAACGCCCCGGAACCACCTGGTTCTCGCCAAATGAGAAAGCTTGTCCTTCTTCTTCGATCCAATTTAAGAAATACGCACGCTCCTCGTCGCCTATTTTTACTTTAATTCCGAGACGAAAAGAAAGTCGTACGAGATGTGCCACGTATCTTCTACGACTAAGTAGGAGCAGGAAACCAGTATATTCCGACTATTGGGTTGGCAACTAATTGATTGCGGATTTTGTCAATATCACCCATTGACAAAATCCGCAATCACTTAATTGCCAACCCAATATTTACTCATTCGTTAGAGCAACTGTATATTACGTTTTTACGTCTGTGTTTCCTGTTTTGCGTAGAAATTTTCTCAGTGAAAATATCGTATCGGATAGCAGTATGTTTCTACATAATTATAGACTTGCGACGAGACGATAATACGCCATACATTAGCCATTGCTCCTCGAAGCCTAACCATTCGCGCGACAAGTGCGTCATTTTCGTCGCGAATAGGAAAAGATTGGTTTCTCCGGCGGAAAGGAGGCAAGTGTTTGCGGCGAGATAAGCGACGTTGGACGTAGTTGAAGACGAGTGTAGTTCGCCTGTGGACGCGTGCGCTTCACGGTTGTTCTTTCGTGACTTTCCTTGCTCGTGTCGAAGAGAAAGAAATTCGTAGAAAAGGAACGCTCGAAAGTGCGCATGCAAAGCAGGATTAATGAGCTCGTAAAAAGACGAGATCGCGCGTGAAAGGGACACGACAGCGATTCCACGAAAGCGATCCCTTTTTATCGTTGCCCACTGGCCCCGATTTTTTCCTCATTCCTCTCTCTCTAATTTCTCCCTCGTTGTCTATTCAAAAAGGACGTTCGTTAAACCAACTGGCGATCGAAAAAACCGAACGACCAAACGCGAAAGAGCTTCAGGAATTCCAGTTTTTCGATCAATTTTATGACTCGATGAAATCTGACGCATTGTTTTACATACAAGATTATCGATAAGATAAGATAAAATAATATGCACACGCTAGTGAATCGAGATAAGTAGAAGAGAAAATATTAACATTCGTAAAAGAGACCTGTTTCCTTTTGACGAATACAAAAGTCATATTTTCGTAGAAAACTGCGATAGTCAACGTACACGATATATGTTCTCGCGTAGAACGATATCGCGCTAATTAATAAAATTAAATAGTCTCCCTTCGATTGTGTTAGGTTGTCCAAGAACTTTCTTTCGTTTTATAAGGAAATAATAGATGCACAACATGTTTTGTTCTATTAGGTCGTCCGCAAAGTTTCTTTCGTTTTATAAGGAAATAATAGACGCACAATGTTTTTTTGTTTTACATTAGTCTTCTGAATTATGCACGAACGTAGCAATAGAAATAGAACGAAATGGATCATACCTAATTCAATAAAATGATATAAAACAAATTGTTGTTCATCCGTTATCAATTTATGAAACGAAAGGAACTTTTCGGACAACCTAATGTCAAATTGTTGTTCATCCGTTATCAATTTATGAAACGAAAGGAACTTTTCGGACAACCTAATGTTACTACAAAATGGATCGTAATTCGATAAAATAATGTTATTTCCATATGAAACGTAAGACACTTTTGGGACAATCTAATGGATCGTTTAAAAATTGTTCGTAATTGAATGTGACAGATTACAAGGAAGATTGCTCGGCCTGAAGCAGATATCCTACTATTTCGAAATTCCTACCTTACCCTACAGTTTCGAAAGCAGTTGCTCGAAATAAATTTAGAAATGTTTGATAAAGAGCTTAGCAAGAAGTTTCCTAGAACAGGAATTAAAAGAACCGAGGATACGCTCAAGTAGAACGAGACCGCCATAGATCAGACTCGCCGCACAAGGAGTGTACGCGACGTTCGACCGTGTTCACAGCCAACAAACATGTTTCATCGATAAAAGCAGCGGATCCGATGTAGCTTTCGACTGTTAGCGCGTTATCGAAGCACAGTTTTCTGGTAAATTTGCCTCCGTCCCGTGTTTTTCATTCCAGACTGCATTCTTTATCGACTCTTCCTATTCTTAGTTTCTTCGCGCACCATTATGGAACTCGCCTTCACACTTCCACGTTCTTCGTGTCATTCACCGGCGATCCGTCGATTTCTTTTTACGTACACGACAAACCGCGAGAATTAACGTTACTCGCTTTGCAATCGATCAACGAGGATACCGCTCTATTACGGTAGAATGTGTTAGGAACTGTGGCTAAGTAAAATATAGCTGCGACATGGCTTGGAAAAAGTTGACTTGTCAGCGCTTTCGGTACAATACTCGGAAGTTTTAGAGAAACTTGAGAATGACCACGAATTAGCAAGCGTTCATGAACAACGCCCAAGGGAAGTAGCAGTCATTGACTAGCAAATTAAACAGAAGCAACCCGTCGAGTCTGGTTGACATTTCGAATTTAAGAAACAAATAAGCTTCTCAGCTTGCTTCGCGCAGCGTTTAAACGACATCCAGCGGAAAGTTGATCCGTGGGAAGGAATGGAGGATCCTTCGCCCTTCACTCACATTACAATTTCTTCGAAAAAAGCAACTTCCACCCTGATCCGTTGCCGACAGAAGCTAAACCGAATGACAGATTTCCAGCGATCAAAGGACAATTCGAGGAATTTGTTACTGCGAGTACGTGTGAACGATCATGAATTTGTATTCTCTTTTCTGGAACGTTTCGAACAGCGGTTTGATTTTTATCGATTGCGAGTTGCTTTTCGTCAGTTTGCTCAACTGGCTGGAAATCGGAGCCTCTTTCTTCCAGCGTTCGTGGAATATTTTCCAGGAGAACTCCCCTTCGAATACAAAGTTTGCGTGATGAATCTCGAAAATGGCTCGCGTGCGCGTTTGCGAAGGAGCGACTCTCCATGCTCTAATTATTCACTGGACGATTGATAATCGTCGAACCAGATACGATAACGACTGATCGTTGATTTACACGCGACGAAACAGCCGCTCCTTCGAATTATGCATCGTTGCCCCGCGTTTACCTCAACCCATCGAGCAGCTACCATTTAATTTATTCGATCGAGCCAGTCAACCAGCTTTAAATTCCATTAATCCTAGCGCACAACGGGATGCATAATGTTCGAGCCGACGTTCTTCGATGACGTTTCTCGATTGTACCAACTCGCTGTAGCTTCCGATCATCGATCCTCTTTCGAACGCGAATTGTACATATTTCTTTGTGACTTTGTTTCCTCCACGGTTACTTCACAGTCCGGTGAAAAAGTAACGTTATCGAAGAAACGATAAGAGCGAAGATACACAGTTACGTCACATATATTAGTATCGTTCTACCGCCTCTGACATCGTCTCTGCGAGTTTCGATACGTTCGCGTTATCAAAATGATGTAACAAAATCTACGCGAAACTATAGTTTCCCTTTTCGGACGCCGAAAATACGTAATGCATGGCATTTGTTCCGCGAGCGAGACGTTAACTTGCAACTTTCTCTTGCTGTCTCTTTAAAAGGTATACCACGCTTGACAACTGTGAAACGGGTGAATTTTTCTAACACCGTTGTGTACGGTGCTTTATGTCCCGGCTACATCGTTAGATGACCCCTCTTAGATCTTTAATATCGTAATATCGTTGCCTAAGCGTGGCCCCTGGGTCGTTAAGAGCTCGTGTCGTGACATGTTACGAAAGGAGAAACGATTCGCTCGTGCCACGCCGAACCTCGACATCTTGTACGCCGTCTTATTGCTTACGTAGCAATAATAAGCGCTACTCGTAACAGATAAGCATCGGGTCGTCCGATTTTTAGACGACTGGTCGTAAAGAATCGCGTAATTACAAGGGCGCCTCGATCAGATATTTAATACGATCAGAGAGCCACTGTGCAGTGAAATGCACAATGTTGGACGGTGACCGTTGAAAATTCGATTAAGGTCAAGAATAAATTTCCACGCTTCCCTGTCGATCCCCGCGCCTCGTCGCTTCGAAACGCCATTCAGCGAATAAAAACTCGGCTTGATAACTGATGATTGGCGATCGCCCCCAGCGAATTACCTAATGCAAAGCTCTTTACGGAGCTACTCGGTGAGAAACCAATTAAGGTCGTCGATAAATCTGCCTCGCGTCCATGGATTTCGTTGCGTTCGAAATCCACCCCTAACTTTCAGCCACGTCCTATCCCCCAGTTAGGCGCGTGCTACACGCTTCGAGTTTCAGCTCTATCTTACTTGATCAATTATCTATAAATACAGCTGTGACTCTGGAATTTTTTACGTCACAGGCGCGCTCCAGTTTCTCCGCTCTACGTTCGCAGAAAAATGCCAAACGTACGATGTAAACGATAAATTTCGCACAGCCAACAGAAAGTCTCTCGCATTTTCCTCGTTAATCAACTCGTGACTAATAAACTCGACTACTGGCGATAAAAGAATACGATTGCAAAACCGACTCGAAGGATTCGGTAGAGTTATAGCTCGCCAGTCGTTTGCATGTCCGCGTTTCGACCAACTTCTCCGAATTTAGTTACATACGGGTCCTAGTTCTTGTAATCTAATCATTTAATCGGACCGTAATACGCTGGAGTATCGAAATATAGGTTAACTAATCAACCTGAGGCGAACTGTTGCCGCTATTTAACTACTGGCGCGATCGTAAACCTTGAAATTTTATGGAGACGCTTATGTGCAACACTTACTCGGTCTGATTGTCCTCGAAGGTGAGCGAGCCCTCCGTGTGCATGTACTGCTTGGTAGGCTTGGCCGTTCCTTCGATGGTGCGATAGGGGATGGTCACACGTCCCCTGGCACCGCTGTATCTCACCACCCGCAGAGCAAACTGACCAACGCTTTCCACCAGCTCGATGTCTCTTTCGGGGAAGCCGAACACGCCGCTGTGATCGTCGTCGAGGATCATCACGGTCGCCAAGCTAGGTGACACCAGCATGGCAGGCTGCGACGCGTTGCTCAATCTGTAACATCAGATCGTCGTCGTTGTTAGCGTCTTAGTACTGTGAGAAACCTGGAGACGTTTCCAGGTCCGCGTGTATCTCGACTAATTTCCACGGATACTGAAATGTACTTGAAATGAAACGCATCTAACCTTGTCGTTTGATCCTTCGGTATGAAGCCATCGATGAAACCAACGATTAATAGGAATTGATACCAACATGGATAAAAGATAGGTTGAAAGTGGACGGAAGTTGATCTTGCGAAGTTAAGCCACGTTAAATGTAACCGTCCGATGTTGGGATGTTGGAAGGACGAGGTTTTTGTTTCTACAATAGCCGTGTTCGTGTTAAGTTTCTCGAGATTGCAGAAAGGAATGTGCAATTAGAACGATGTCAATTTTAACAGAATATTTTAACGTTCTTCCGTCGTAACGTTGAAAATGCGATGAAAACGTGAAACACGTGATCAAATTGCACCGAGTGTCCAAATAGTTGTAAATGGTACGCGATAATAGCGTGGTAAAATATTCCTATCGTATTTACTAAATCATTGAACGCCGGACCGGGTTTCAGAACTGTCTCGGACCGATTGTTCCGCCATAGGCATTCGTCATCGCGATGCATCGCGTCGTAACGCTGCGAGGCACAGCTCGCAATGGAACATTTCCGCCGATCAAACCGGCCCATCTAAGCTAATTGCTTTTCTTCCGAGAGCAAACTTCGGATGGAGTCGGTCAGATAAGCGAGACTCGAAATAACTTGGAACCCGGCTGCACGAGTTCCGCTGGAGCTTAATGTACCGCGTTTCTTCGCTTCATCGGCAACAGGGGAGGAATTCTAGCGCTCGTGCAGCCTCGTTTCCCCTCCTTTCCCCGTGGCCTGTGGCATGAACATGTAATCGAGAACTAGTCCTGAACTGATATCTGAACGTATGAATTCGCCATAGACTCGAAATTCTCTGCCCGTAATTACTCTCTCTCTCTCTCTCTCTCTCTCTCTCTCTCTCTCTCTCTCCCTCTCTCTCTCTCTCTCTCTCTCTCTCTCTCTCTCTCTCTCTCTCTCTCTCTCTCTCTCTCTCTCTCTCTCTCTCTCTCTCTCTCTCTCTCTCTCTCTCTCTCTCTCTCTCTCTCTCTCTCTCTCTCTCTCTCTCTCTCTCTCTCTCTCTCTCTCTCTCTCTCTCTCTCTCTCTCTCTCTCTCTCTCTCTCTCTCTCTCTCTCTCTCTCTCTCTCTCTCTCTCTCTCTCTCTCTCTCTCTCTCTCTCTCTCTCTCTCTCTCTCTCTCTCTCTCTCTCTCTCTCTCTCTCTCTCTCTCTCTCTCTCTCTCTCTCTCTCTCTCTCTCTCTCTCTCTCTCTCTCTCTCTCTCTCTCTCTCTCTCTCTCTCTCTCTCTCTCTCTCTCTCTCTCTCTCTCTCTCTCTCTCTCTCTCTCTCTCTCTCTCTCTCTCTCTCTCTCTCTCTCTCTCTCTCTCTCTCTCTCTCTCTCTCTCTCTCTCTCTCTCTCTCTCTCTCTCTCTCTCTCTCTCTCTCTGTCCCGAATCCGGGCCTTCGTCCTAACGATCGCCACAGCGAAATAAAAGCAACACCGTGCAACGTTTCGCTCGTTATCGAGGCCTGTCCATCTTGTTCAACGGCGACACGAACGCCGAGGAAATAAATTTTCCCCCTGTGACCGGCGTTTCTCTCGCGAGAAAGCTCGGGCGTGTCGCCAGATCGACGAAGATTATCGCGAAGTTAAGAAAATCATTAGGACTCGCAGGATTCCTTGAAAATCGTCGTGTTTGCGCTCGTTTGCGCTGGCCTGATCTACGCCGATTTCGACCCTCGATGTTATCGGCTTTCCTTGATAACGACGCTAAACGCGCGGTAAATGTTGAACTTCGTTGCCGCACGACGGAAGTAAGAAGTTCTAAAGCCTTCTAAGAACGAGAAATACAAAACGAACAACCATTGCAGAAATATTTTCCTTAAACTGTAACGGAATTGCGGGCTGTCGTGAAGCAAGTACAGGGACACTTACAGACAACCTTATTAAGGTTCGTTAAAGCCATAAACGATTATTATTCGCTATGAAACTTATAGAGAGATAGATAAAAACTATAGACTATAGGATAGAGACTGTATAAGGCTGCATAAACGGGAGTGTGGCGATTCTAATTCCGCGAACTAATGGCTGACCTACCAGCAATTCCGCTAAAGCGATTCTCCAAAGATCGGTTAGAAAACTTAGAAAAGATCGTTTCGCTTCCATTTCTCAACTCTCAAGGCGAACGTCGACGGAATTGACGGAATCTTCGAAGTGTACTTTAGCCGGAAACGGTCCCCATCCAGTTGACAATCTCGAACGCGAAGTTGACAATCTTCATAGCGTTATCATCTAAACGTTTGACTATCGAAGATAGAACGAGTGTCGAATGCATGAGAAGAACGGAGCTGGACAGCGGGACGTTCGAGCGATCCACAATGCAACGAGCACACTCATAAGTTTTAATCAGGACGTTGCCACCAACATGATCATCAAATAAAAATAGTAGAAGTTTCATTTTACGTTTTACATTGACGAACGATGAGTTACGTTTTACATTTTCTGTCATACGCAATTTTGTTATAAGTGCAATTTTAAAATTCCCCAAATTTCTCTTCTATTTGACTTTCAGGCTAAACACGTATCTCTCTGTACCCATTTCGTAATTGTAGAAATATCGTTCGGCCTCTACAAACCTGGTCCACTATATTTTTACACAACATAGGTTTCTTTCACTTTTACGTATTTTACTTCTGAATATTTCTTTTCGCTCGTAAAGTAACCTGCTGCTAGTACGCGTCATCGTAGACACCTACACGGTCATTCGAATCTAGAACATCGTGGTTTCCGTTCGATCCGTAACTATTGCACAAAATTCCAAGAATTCGTTCGCCCTACTTTTAAGACTGCGCGATGGAGGTAGTTTCGAGAGAGAGAGAAATTTTTGTCGCTCTTAATCCAACTAGCTGGTACTTGTGCCGAGTACTGCGGAGCATCGCTGCCGTATTTCAGTTGCAATTTTCGCGCGGTTTTCGTCTCTTCGTTGGATAAAAAGCCGAGTATTCGCGAGAAGACCACGAGTGCCTCGTAACGAACTCGAAGATTCTGCGAGCGACCGCGATACCCGAGAGTAAATGGAACTTTTTCGTCCACGATGTTCACGTCGCACGAGTTCTCCAAAATAGCGACCGACCTCGAGAACTCTCGTGAGTGTTCATTTATGATCTGTCAAAGGCTGTTCGTCGCGACGATTAATCGACGAATCGACGCTAATTGACGTTGGTGTCCGTGTTGGCGTCGATGAAACCGCGAGCAGACAACCAGTCCCTTTGTGCGCCGAGTTTAAGCGGTAATGTAATAGCGCGCGCCATCCGGACCAAAGTTAATTGAAAGATGCGCTGCCGGCGATTATCAATTCGCTATCGCGACTAGATCGTCGACCGGCAGACGCCCTCGAGCGTACGTCTGGTATCGAATCCGCTTCCTGTTTTTCACGGTGCAAATAGGGCGTCCTGGTTGCTCTTCCGCGAACGCTGATCGAGTCTCGTCGACCATATCTTCTCGTGGAACAGTCACAATCGAATGTTTAGAAACGTGTTGTAATTTTTCCTTATGATCGTTCGAACAGTCGAACGATTGGCAAGAGACGCGACGTCTGACGTTGGGTGTAGCGGACACAGTGTATATGGGAAGCTTAATACCAGCTTTAATAATCACAAGTTGTCCAAACAGAAAGTCAGCATGTTTTCTTAGAAAACGTGCGGAAGAAACGATATCCAGCCTGGACGTTAGCATAGATAAGTTTGTCAAATTGTCGGGACACCTTACTCGATAAAATTCGATACGTCTGTATTCACGAATGAAGGAGCAACGAGTTAGAATCGTAGGTGTCTGGAACTTGATCCTGTCTGCGATCGATTCACGCGGCCTTCGTTACAACGTCGTCGTATAAAAGCCAAACGAATTCTCTGAGACTTTTGTCTGGACCGTCGTGTGGAAAGGACGAAATCGGTCTAATCCTCTAATCCCCGAGTCATAGAAACAAAAGGAACAACTGAGCAATCTCGTCGCTCGTTACTCCCTGATGATCCTTGCAACAATGTACATCCAAGTTCCTTTTATTTATCTCCATCCTGGCTGGATATTGTAGCTCGACCTCGGCCCAGTTTCATCACGGTGTAACAGCGGCGAAAAAGGAAAACGTTTTTCAGAGTTCGATGTATACATTTCACGGAAACAATGAAACATTTTGTAATATTTCTCTCGTTCGTTTTTCCACGTCGCGTAGCCGAACGATTTTTCAAGGTCCGACATGTTTGACAAAAACGCGCTGTCCCATTGTTCCTTTGATTCCTCGTTTCTCCGCTTCCCGGATGAACACATTCAGCGGTTGCAGGCAATTCATCGTTGTACGTTGGTCGACCAACCAAAAGTTTCACCTTCTTACGACATGACGTTCGTCCTTGCCCCGCCCTAATCGACTATCATTCCTACCCTTGAAATTTCCTCCGTGTTTTGCTTTTTGACGTTAACGCGTTAATCGCCACGATGGTTGTCGGTGATCGATGCTATTAAATCTTTTGTTACGATTAAAATAACGAAATTCATTTTATGGAGTAAATAATTTTCAACGATGCGGATCACTTGGATTGATGATAAAGCATTGTCGGATAAAGTACGGTATAGTATTTTGCAATGATTAAACATTATGGTCTGGAATAACTGGATCTATGGAGGTAAATAAAATTCACGTGATAGTCAACGTATTAATACGGACAAACGTGATAAGTAAACTGCGCATTTTATGGAAATTTGTCTATAGGAGAACGGATCTAATTCATCGGAAATCATAAAGTTTTGCAGCTTCCAACAAATATCACTCCGTTTCATATACGTTTTCAAATTCGTTTCAAATTTAACCAATATTAGGTGTTTCATCGAAGTACTCTCGAAATTTCAAAATATTTCATACAACGCGCATGACATGTTCGTAAGAAGTTCCTGCAAGTGTTCAAATACTTTCGTGAACCGATGTAGGTGGCACGAACAATCCTACTTTACCAGAGATGACGTAAACTGCTACTTATGCTTATCACGAGTGATTCGATCACGTTTGTTCCCAATTACGATTATACTTTCTACAGCGATCCGTAATTTCTCGTGATCGCCTCTAATTGACAGAGGCCATAAATATTTTATATTAACCGTATCAAAGAAATATTAGGATTTTGAAATCGAAGGGAAGTATTCGTATCTTACTGTTCGAGAGACTGGTATCTTTCTGACGAACATAAAGAGAAGCAAATTGAATTATTTTCTAGTTTTGTTATCGAATAAAATAAATTTATATGCAGATACTTTCACGCGAACCTTGTCGAATTATTTTATAGCAAAAAATAAAGAATTACGATTAGCCAACGATCAGACACAGTCAGCCAATTCAGTCAAAATGAAAGAATCACACGGTGACCGCGTCGTAAACGAAGTTAAATTACAACCGTGATCGTAATTCTACGAATCACCGTTGATGATTTTCCACGCCATGTCCTATATCTCATTACAGTTGTAATGCCGTGCAAGTTGAAGCGGATCCGAGAGGACTGACACGTTGTCGGTCAATCGGTTGCAAACCTTTCGCACACCAACGACTTGCCGCCCTGCCACCTTTCATCCGACCGATTATCTCTCGAAAGCTTAATGCGATTTCGAGCCACTGATTCGTCTCTAGCTTTAATAGACAGCTAGCGTGCGCCACAGGGACACTCGTTCGAGTTTCCGCGTCGTCATTGACCGTGGCAATAAAACTAGAGGTACGTGTAGTTCCGCAGTCCGATCTCTACGCGTCCTTGATCTTCTCCTCTGAATATCTTTGCCGCTCGTTCGACCGACATTTCCGGCATGGAAGCTTTTCCCCTCTCGCTTTTCCTCTCGCGTTGTTCCACGAATCGCGGACGAGACAGATGAAATTCTTCGGTACCGCGAACACGAAACTGCTTCGTCGCGGTTGCTACTTGATGCCGTGTTTGTTTCGATCTTATCCACTGAATAAGTGTCACAGGCTGTGGAATCTTTCATAGGTGAAACTTCAGCACGTGCGAATATCCTTCGAATATTATCGTCTTGGATTTTTTAACTCCGCTTGTTATTAATATTGTACTTTAAAGAAAACTCGTGAGAGAAACTTTTACACGCGATAGTCGTTGAAGATTCGCAGCGGTGAACGACGAAGGAACGACTCGAAGAGAAAGTCGTGTGTTTTTCGAAGAATATTCATCGGAACAAGGATCGAGAGGATATCTAAACTCGTTAAAATTTCTGACAGTTTACATTGCTTATCGTCGAGAACGTCCGCGGAAGCGAGTAAAGGCCCGTGTCTGCTAAGTTGGCGAAACTTCGCCCGTTATTACCGGGGCGATGTTAGCATTTGCCAAACAGATGCCTGGAATCGCAAAGTTCTGGTCGGAGTACGAACGAAGGAAATCCTTGCTAAATTTCAACGAAAACAAAAACGGATTGACGTTAAAGCGAGTGGCAGTTGGCGCACACTCGTCGAAACAATGGTCTCGGTGGATACAGTGTTCGAGTCGAGAAATGGGCGGGAAAAAAGAAGTAGACAGCTGTACCTGATGTAGAAATGCTCGTCCTCTTCGAACAGCTCGTCGTCGATGACGGAGAGCTTGATGGTTTTCCTGGTCTCGCCCGGATCGAAGGTTAGAGTGCCCTTGGCGCTGATGTAATCGGAACCAGCCTCGGCCGAGCCATCTTCGGTGCAGTAATCGACGGTGCACGGTTTGGTTAGGTCACCGCCAACTCTGGTCACTCCTACCTCGAAGGTACCGACGTTTTCCATCACGGTGTAGTGGCCAGGTTCGAAGAAGATTCTCATGGCGTTCACGTTCTCGATGTCGATGCTCTCCGCCTCTTGCCTTTGCAGCTCGGCCTTGACCTCGCTCAGATCGCTCTGCGCCCTTTCGCTGATCTTCTTGCTCAGATTTCCTGCGCCGACCATCTTCCTGGTCGCCTGTACCCTGTAGAACGCTCTGCTCTTCGGCCCCTTTCCGAGCACCTCTTCGTGAGCCATCACCTCCAGTTGTTCCAGCGGCAAAGTGGGATGTTTCCTTCTTAGTTCTCTCAGAGTGTTGATGTAATCTCTTCTGGTCTGCTCGAACTCCTTTGCTTCGGGCGTGTCGGCGTCCGTCATGTTGTGGAAGTTGTCCTGCTGAGGTTTAATCTCGAGCTCCACCCCACCGTCCGAATCACCGGCCTCGGCCTGCACGATCACTCCTCTCTTGTTCATCCGGTAGCCTTTGTGCAGATACTTGTAGATGAGCAGACGTCGATCGGCCACGTAGGCCGTGAGAACCGTGGCTGGGAAGAATGAAAAGGTGAGGATACCTTCCCAAACCTCGAGCACGCCGGGACTGGAAACCGCCAGGATCACGTACAGCCAAACGTAAGCAAAGATGCTCCACGTGGCGGTCACGAAGAACACTCTCAGGTGCTTGATCTTCCTGGTCTCGCCGTTTGGTATCACGAACACGCACAGAGAGATAATGACGAAGAGATTGTAGGCAGCCGAGCCGACGATCGTGCCCGGCCCTAATTCTCCAGCCTGGAAGTTTTTCGCCCAGATCTCGATGATCGACAAGAGGATCTCCGGCGCGCTGCTACCCAGCGCCATCAACGTCAAATTCGCCACGGTCTCGTTCCACACCCGCACCACCACGATCTGCGGCTCCTTACCCTGGCGGCGAACCACCAATTCCTTCTCCTTCGATGTGATTACCTCGATCGCCGCCATGAAACGATCGCTGATTATCGACACGCCGATGAACAGGTACAACAGCAAAAGAAAGTAGACAAATCCGCGGAAAATCACATCGGAGAGATAGAGGTTCTCCAGTGGTCCCCATAACGGCACCACTAGACCGGGCTCGCACCGGACCGAATAATTTCCCGACATCTTTCTTCCGACTTTCTCTTATGCTTTTCCTTCCCTCCCGTACGACGGAAGCGCCTCGACCAACCCCGATTTGATTCGAGATCGAATCGCCGACCTCTGACCGCCGTGACACAAACGGCTACAGCTGCCTC